CGCAAGCCGTTTCGTTTTCGAGGATAAGCCAACGTTGTGTCTCGTATGTAAAGTAAAGTTGAATTGAATGACGCTCGTGTGAAAGGAATGATTTTGCGAAAGTATCTAAAAATTTGACTTATACGAGTAATTTTTTTTAGTTATTAAGTTTATATAATAATAATAATAATAATAGTTTATATAATTCCTGTATACAGAAATATCTTGAATATTTAATCATATGGATATCTTATAGACATTATATCTTTAAACTGTCCTTATGATATAATTTAGACATTTCTGTTGTATAGGATTACGTAAGACGCTCAAATTAGTTGCTAGAATGTCAAAACATTTTTTATTAGCTGCGTTTAGCAGAGAAAGTAGCTTTATAATTGTTGCAAAATTCTTTAAGATAATTGGTCCTGCTCTTAGTTCCTCATTAAATCTAAATGTATAAATTAATCAAGTGTTAAAGTATTTCACAACAGTTGGAAAGCTGCTTTCTCTGCTGAACGCGTCCATTGCTCATCATGCTTGAGATTCTTACGTAATTATTTTGATAGTTCAATGGAATTATTTCCAGATTAGCTAAACTTTTAGATGTATTTCGGCAAAATCGTTCTTCCATATGGCAATCGCGCAGTAAATATATATGTATATCTTGATAACGTCGTTGTTTTAAAATCTATTTTAAAATACCCCTTCACATTCACCTCTTCGTTGATCCGTAAATAATTATCGGAATTTCTTTCAGCCGTTCGTCTGCGAAATGTACGCGTGAAATGTCGCTGGACGTGCGCCGCGCGGCTTTCTCCCGACGAAGGGCATTCTCTGGTTAGCGCGCGATGTGCGAGGTATCGAAGAGCCAACGCAGGACGTTCCGGGACCAGGACCCACCGCGAATATGCAACAAGAGCGCGGAGAACCTGCTGCGAGACGAGCTCGAGTTCTCGCGCTCGACCCCGAGCTCGCCGACGACCCTTCAGCGCGCCGTCAGCCTCGAGAAGTGCTTCAGCGAGCCTGAGTTCTTCCAGAAGCAGCGCGAGCTGCTCTCGAAACATGAACAACGGTCGAAGGATGGCGACGGTGAGGAAAACGTCATCCCTGGCTCCGCACGTGTGGACGACGATTCTGGGAGTACGGCCGCAAGCATCGAGGAACTCTCGAAGGAATTCTCCGCCAAAGTGCCTTCCCCTTGCGAGCAGGCGAGCGAGGTAGGAGCGAACAATTGTGTCAAAGAAAAGTCTTTAGAAAGACAAATCAATCTTTTCGTCACAATTTTCTCGTCAATGTTTTCATCATCATTTTTTCGCGAAGTCGACTCTGCAAGAAGATTGTAAATCAATCACACTGAGGCCCAATTTTTCATTATCTGATTAACTTGTGGCTGATTAAGCTAATGTTCACTCAATAGGCTTCACCCGTAACATCATCATAGATTAAGTCCATTGGGTAAAACACTAAGTTAAGTCTAACCACAAGTCAACAAAGAAAAAAATGAAAAACTCAGCCTGAGAAAAAAGGTATTTGTGACTGTGATTGCATGATAAAATAATTGTCGTTATGAGCTCCATTTTTGTAGTTATTATGTATGCTATGATGTTAGTAATAATAATTATATTTAGAGTTCTATATAAAAAATATATATAATGTTAGTATAGAAAGTGATTATAAACAATAAAAGGAGCCACACGCAGGATCTTTCTCGTATTTCAAGTCTTGTATTTTAAATATTTACGTTAATAATATAAAATAATAAAACGTAGACACGTTTTTACCAAGATCAGATCATTTTCAGGATGTCAAAGCAATAAAGTATAGATGTATAATTAACAAATTATAAATAAGTATCAGAATAATAAAAATGTCATAAACGAAATTGACAAATGATTATATTGCATAATTATTGTACCATGCAATTATAGTCACAAATCCCTAACACTTTGCTCTCTGCTATTACTAAAGTTGAGACATTTACAAAAAGAGTTGGTTGGCTTAGCTTCTAAGAGGCAGATAATGAATGAATTGCATCAACTGATTCCATTCGCCCTATCGCAGATTGTTCTCATTTAGAGACATTTGAGCTTAAATTTTGAAAGTTTAAAAAAAAATGCGAAGACCGAGGGATATGATTTTTCATAATTGCTCCACAATATAAATTAGAGACAAAAAATAAATTTATATCGCTTTATTAGAATTATCGGAGTAATTTAGAATTATGGGGCTAATCGGATCATATTAAATGTTATATTTAAGCACTTGCAGCTTTTTTTTAGAAATATCAGGTCATTCAATTAAGAAATAATCTGGAGCATCGATTGACTCACGTTTCTTCTTGATTTAATTATCAACATCGACAAGATCCTCATAAAATAACTAGAAGTAAGCTAAATATATCCCACATCTATTCAAGGATACACGATACGCATCCAATACGATATTTAAAGCGTTCTACATACATCTTGAGAGTCATCTTTTTTTATCGAGAATTCGAAATCGGACATTATTTCTTTTTGTAATTTCTCCAGAACTCTTGCAATCAAATATCACCTGAATGCTTTTACACGACTTATGACGCATTTCCCAAGTGTCGATATTCAATACTTTTATGACTCGCTCAACTCGTTTTTCTGCGGAGAAATTAAGTTATCGATTAGCAGCGATATAATATTCAGAACATGACTGCCGCGTGTTGTACGTGTGACAACAAAAATCTCAGATAAAGCGGTTAGTTGAACGTGAGTCACCGGTGTTTTTCGCTTTGAAAACTGGAAAGAGTTGCATCGAATTTTCCAGCGAAGAAACATGTTTTTTATGGAATAAAAAAATCTTGCTTGATTTAGCGTAACGGAGAGACGTGTTTTGGACCTGATGGCTAACGTTGCCACCGACCTGGTGTCCGATCCGGTCGCAACGGTATATCTCTCAGTCGATTTCTTGTTCTTTTTTATACTCGATCTTCAAAACGGGTTCTATTCGACCAGCGACAATAGTCCGATTAAGTGAAAACAGAATAGTGTTAGACAAATAAAATATAAATGCATTAGTTCAACTTGGGCCAAAATGATCCTAAGATTAATTTTCATCGCTTTTGCAAGTACGCAGAAATTATTAAGTAATTCTTACATATATTTTTAATCTCTTCAAGAAGTATTTGCAAGATTATATATTTAAAAAATTATACATAAATATAATAACTATTTATTTAGTGCTCCTAGTATTTCAAAGGAAGAAAATGTGTCTACTGTTAAATTCATATACCTAATACTGAATTACATTTTTAATCATTTCTATTAGTCGTACTTAATACGGCGTTAATTTAATTAAAATAATATAGTTAAACAATGTAACTTAAGAAAATGTATCAAATTTGACTCAAATCTAATTTATTACTTACTCTCTAAACTCTTTGAAGTGAAATCTTATTCTAAAAAGTATAAAAATTGAGTCAGTCTTGAAAAAGCGTGAGGTTCACTCTAAAAGTTTTAGAGAATGCACGTTAGATAAACATTGTTTACTTTAAAATTAATTACAGAAATGAATTGATTTACATTTTGATACACATGGAAGTTAAAAATAACAAAATATTATTTTAAGTTAAGAAAGGATTACCATTACTAGAGCCTTTGATATTTAACAGGACACGAATGATCTAATCATGTGTACCTACTAAGGATTAAAAATAATGCACTACTCGAACCGAAGCAAGAACATTTCCGCCCCGTTCGAGTCGTACGAAATTTATCTCTTGGTCGACGTGTACAGGTGCACTATCGACCTGCGCGAGAACATCGTCGAACTGAAGTATCGGAGGAAGCGTCATACGCCTCGCCGAAGAAACAGCAAACTCATTCGCGCGGAATCGCCGGCCTTCGCTTTTGTCGGTAAAATCTCGTGTCACGGTTTTTTTTTTCATTACTGACGTAACGATCGAAGCTATGGGCGCGAGATTTGTTTCCCCAGACAATTAGGAATTCCACCTTTCATTTATCAGGAATAATGTGGAAATTATTGTGCAAGAAATGTAGAAAGTATGTATCATTCTTCGTCATTCTTATATCATTCAGAATTCGGAGTATTATAAAGTATAAAGTGAAATCGAACGTAGTAGTTCTTTCTATTTAATTTTTAATAAAATTTATATTAGTTCGAGAAAATAAAGCATAAAGATATATACTCCCCTAATTATAAGAGATTTATATGCTTAAAAATTTATATTATAGATATTCGTTTATGATATGTTGTGTTAATTAGCATTCGTGAAATTTTCACTAAATTTGTATGCTGTTAAAACATA